GACTCTGAATACATCCTCTGCTACTCAGCTCTATCTCCTGTCACTAGCTATGCGGCTATGACCGCCTTCCCTCTCAGTGCAGCGCTGCCCAGCAGGGCTCACACACGCATGCTACTCGCAGATAGCGCACAAGCGTTTCAGCAGCACTTCCACACTTCTCACGAATGAGCATTCTCCCTGAAATGTGGTTGACCAGTCCTTACATTGACTTGGACTGAGCCTCAAACTCGTCCCAGCCTCTGCTTCCTTTAGCTTGACTTGGACCCGGTACCACATGCCCATGGCCTGCTTGCTTCAGAATGTCAAGGCCTGGTACTTTCCCGAATGTTCATTGGTGTGCTGCTGCTTGGGTCTGTGAGTCACGACTTTCCACTTGTTGATCATGACTCTTGACTGTGGGATGTGACTCTTGCCTCTGGCACACGACTTTTGCCTGGAGAAGTGCCCTTTGCCTGTGGAATATGACTTTTCAATATGAGACGTGACTTTTGCTTATAGAAGGCAACCTTTGCCTCTGGGATGTGACTGTTCACCGGGTGCCTGTTGGACTTTGACTCCTAAGATACCTGACTGTGACCTTTCTAAACTGGCCGACTGGGCCTCCCTTGGCCTGAGACCTTGACACTGAAATTCGAATTTGGGGTCCGCAGCGTGGAATATCTTTCACCATGAAAGACTGAGCATCAATAAATGCACGCGCATCTGATGAGTAATATGAGGCTTTTGTGTTTCCGAACTTCCAGGTTTGTCGTCATAGGGTCACAGTGCGAGGATAGGAAGTCTGGAGTGGGATATGATCCATTGCAGGGTCTTTTTTGCTTGATACTCTTCCCCCAATCTATCTGCAAAAAAATCAGCCCATGTCCGCCTGTTGGGATGCTGTCGAACTGGACCCAGAACTGTTCTTTAGCTTCTGTTTGTACGTTGTCGAAGGTGTTGGTTTGCTTTTCTGTGTCAATTCTGGCTTCCATTCTGTCCAAGTGCAGATCGAGCCATGGCATATCAGTGTTTCGCAGTTCTCCAACGGATACGCGGGCATCATAGCGTTTGTACGTCCTAGTTAAATAAGTAGTAGTGTTAAGTACCCTATTTTTGTCACCCCCTTTCGGGTACAGATCCTTTCTGCTCAACCCTAAACCCTCGCGGCACGGTGTCCAGTTTTAGTGTCATCCACTCTCTTTCCTCACAGGTTTGTCCTTTTTTCAGCAGTGCTATCCATTCCTCTGGGATCGTGACCAGTACATCATTGAGATTCTCCGGCAGCTTGTGACTTCCCTTGAGGTCATTTCGCAGTTCCCGTGCTCATCCGACCAAAGGTGTTTGACTTGCCATAATCTGTGCTCCACCACGTTCCCCACTTTGTGACCTGTCTCGTGAGCGTTCTAGGCTTTCCCCTTTCATCCTTCAGCCATTGATCACAGAAAAGTTGCTGCCTTTTCACTTCCTCTCTCATTCTGGGTCCGTACACCTTTGCTGGGAAAATTTCCTCCCATAGTCTTTGTTGTTGTCCTGGTGTTGGTCCTGGTTGTTTCGTCCTCCCCGCTCTCCTGCTGTCTTGGCCCATGATTTGCGCATAATCCAAAACAGTCCCGGCATATTCTCTGGTGTCTTATACGTTGCCGTTCCTTGGATCCGTTCCAGTACCAGTGGAACCCATGACAGCCTTTGGTTGCTGATCAGCTTTATCACCCACTTCGTCTGTAAGGCCTTAATTTGGGTCTCCGGGCCAGTAACTCCTAGTCCCCCCTTGGCCCAGTTATTTATCACGTAACGCCATGCCACCTTCGTTATGAAGTGCTGCCTGATTGGATTGGCTGTCCACAGATCGGCTGCTGCCCTGCTTCTCAGGTTCACCGTTAGCTGGGAGGTGGGACTCCACACAGTTGCTGCATGCTAGAGCATGGAAAAGGTCAACGAGTTCAAGATCATTGTGCCACCGTATAGGGATGTGTATACTGCTGACCATGCTCCCAATTTAGCAAGCATTTCGGCCTAAATTTCTAGGGCCATCGAATGTGATGGTCCGGACTCCGTAACCTTAATGCCCAGGAATCTCAGTGGCTGTGTTGCGGCGGAGCCATAGCATGCATCCCAATGTCTTATTCCAATCGATTCTCATCTCCGAGGCGATCTGGAACGCTTGCATAGCCCGTGTTAGTGCCTCGAATGAGGAGTTTGAGGCTCTAATTAGAACGGTCAAATCATCTGCAAACAGTAATGTGGTTGGAATGAGGATGTGCCTTCTTTGTTGATCGGTTGTTGCCACGAGTCTGTCGATTGAGGGATCTTTACGGAGGAATGAAGCTATTGCCTCCATTATGAGCAAGAGTATGGGTGCCGCCAGCGGGTCCCCCTGTCTAACTGACCTAGACATTTAATATTTCTCTCAGATTCTCTGATAAATGACCATTGAGTTGGACTTGTCCGTGTGCATCGTTATACAACACCCTTATCCATTTTTTTTAATTCAGCCCTACTCCCATCCTTTCCATGCATTGCTGCAAAAAGCTCGTACTCACCTGATCATACAGTTTTTCAAAATCGAAGAACAGCATTGCAGCGTTGATCCTCTTATAATTGATGTATCTAACCGATTCGATGACCGCATTATGTTATCCAGAATAAATCTTTCCGAGATAAATCCTGTCTGGTCCATATGAAACCAACCTTGGGTTATTGTCTGATGAGGTCTATTGGCCAATGCCAATAATGGGGGGGAAATACACAGCATTTTTGAGGGAATGGGGGTAACCATTTGCAGAATTATTTGGTCTTTGTGGAAGCATTCTTGGAACCATTTGTGAAACCATATGGAACCATTTGTGAAACCATATGGAACCATTTGTGGAAGCATTTGGTTAGGTCTGATGATTCAGGCCAGATCTTGTCTTTTGTGAAGAATTGTTGGGCTTGATCTCCACAATTGGACTGCTAGGTACCTAGCTTTCCAGCCCGGGCGCACGGGCCACCCCAGGTTGCCTGGAAGGGTGCTTGGGGCACCCGGCCGTGCGACCCCCCCGGCCAGGCCCCCAGGCCCCCACACCGCCGGCCCCCAAATCCCTTTGAATTTTTTTTTGGCGCTGCGGCCTGGAGGCCCAGAGGGGAAAAAAAAAATTGGCGGCCGCCCCAATTTTTTTTGGAGTGTGGTAGGCCCTATTTCTTAGTTTATTTTGGGGGGAACCCGGGCCGTCGATCTGCATTGATCGATGGCGCGGAAGTCCCAAGATTTCGAATTCGAATCTTGGGACTTACCGCGCGGCCCTGCGCCCTCTGCCCTACCCCCCCGCGCCAGTTCGTTGGTTCCCCACCGTTGTTGCCCTGCCGTGGTCGTCCGCGCCATCGTTATCGTCGCCCTGCCGAGCCGCCATCGTCGTCACGCTGCTGCCCTCCGGCGCGCCACCATCGTCACCGTCCAGCCGCGCCATCCTCCTCGCCCCTGACGAAGACTGCCTGCGCCGCCATCACCTACTCAGGTAAGTTTTTTTCTTCTTCTTCTTTTTCTTCTTCTTTTTCTTCTACTTTCTTCTTCTTCATCTCTACTACGTCTTTGTTTGTTCTTCTTCGTTTTGTCTCATTCTTCTTCCTCTCCTTCTTCTCCTTTCCGTCGCGTCCTTTTCCTTCTTCGTTGTTTCTTCATCTTCTTTTCTTTTTTTTCTTTTTTGTTTCTTCTTCTATTTGTTCTTATTCTTCATCGGTTCTTGTTTTTCTTCTTCTCTTTCTTGTTGCCGCCTCTTCTTCTTCTTCTTCTTCTTCGTCTTCGTCTTCGTCTTCGTCTTCGTCTTCGTCTTCGTCTTCGTCTTCTTCTGCTGCTTCTGCCTCTGCTTCTGCTTCTGCGTCTGCTTCTGCTTCTGCTATCCTCTTCTTTCTCCCTGTTTCTTCCTCCGCCATAGCGCTTCATCAACAAATCATCATCTTTTTTTTGGGGGGGGGAATGCTTGATTATACTTCGGCTCCGTCTGCCATAGCCTCACTCCTCCCTCCATAGACTCCCTCCTCCCTCCATAGACTCCCTCCCCCCTCCTCCTCCATCAGTCTCCCTTCCCCATCCTCCCTCGTTAGACTCCCTCCCTCCATCAGTCTCCCTTCCCCCTCCTCCTCCCTGCATAGGCTCCCTCCAAAGGCTCCCTCCCTCCGTCTTCTTCCTTCTTCTTTATCTTCTTCTTCCTCCTCTTCTTACTCTCTCCCTCTTTTCTTCTTCCTCTTCCCTTCTTCTTCGCCATCTTCTTCTTCTTCCTCTTCTTACTCTCTACAGTCCTTCTGGGACACCATAGTCCTCTTCTTCTTTCCTTCTTCTTCATTAGAGTTCTGCCCCTACCTCCTCCTACCTTCGCTAGAGTCCTGCTCCTACCTCCTCGTACCTCCTGCCATAGTCCCCCTCCTCCCTCCTTCCTCCCGCCATAGTCCTCCCTCCTTCCTCCCGCCAAAGTCCTCCCTCCTC